ACATATCTGGTTATTTCTTTTCTTGTTCCCCATTACAAGGTAAGATCACTGAGTATAAGGCCTTTGCTTCATTTATGGTGTCTTCCAGACCCTGAAACAGGGCCTACCACATAGTAAAAATAATAAAATCTCTGATGACCTAGCTCTATTTTCCTCTCAAGCCTTATTACTTCCCCGGTATGTGGTACTCCAGGCACAACAAGCAACTTGCATTTCCTTAACCCTGATTGTTCTATCTCATTCATTCCTTCGACAAGCTCTTACTTCCACCTGTGTCACCTTCACTCTCTCCGTTCTCCTGACTTAAAAGTGAGTTTCCTTCAGAGACTTTTTCTTGACTGCTCACTTCTGGCTGGTGTCTTTCCAGTTGCTCCTAGAGTACTTGTGCTTTTTTCTCGTGCACAACTTCCCTCTTCAGAATCTACTGCAGCTAGCCCACTTCCGTGCCCACTTCTCAACACCAGGGACAATATTTTATTCACTGTTGGAAATTGGTGGAAAAGTTCAGATGATATGAAATTACATACTGGGTGTTTGTTTCTTTGTTTGTTTGAACACACCACATAAGATGGGGTATGAAGAGAGGAAGAGGAGAAAGAAAAAGAGTGATGTAGACTAGAGAAGAAGGTTGGGGGTACTCAGAGTCTTACAAATAGGAAAGAGAAGAAGTAACTTCAGTCTCAAGATCCAGATGGACAAGATGTTCACACTACTTCTACAGATGTCTCCCCATGCTCACCCACACACACTAATGTGTGAACAGCCCCACTGGCTAATAATTTTGAAAACTTATAAGCTTTCATCCCTAGGGTGTGGGTAATATGGACACATCAGGAATAGGTGGTTTGCAGAGCAAATGTTGTGCTCTGACTAAGGTGGACAAGCTCACAATGAATTGGAGACTTTCCCAAAAGCCAGTAGTTTAAGAAGAAAAATAAATGAAGACACAAGACTACTGTTGTAGCCACCAAACTCAGAGCCCAAGTGAAAACCCTTAAATGTCCTATAAGGGCCTATGTGACTCAACTCCCCTTCACCTCTGTGATTTCATCTCCCTACTATTCTGCCCCTTGTCTGTCTACACAGGCACGCTGACTTCCTTGTTCTAAACTATCAAATACACCCCCTTCTCAGGAACTTTATTTGTAGTTTCTCTGTCTTCTTCCTGAAATGACCTTTCTCAAATATCTCCATAGACACGTTCCTCACTCCCTTCAGGCTTCTTCTCAAATGTTTCCATTGTGTGAGCTCTTCCCTGGCAGCTTCACTTAAAATGTCAACTGCCTGCCCTAACCGGTTTGGCTCAGTGGATAGAGCGTCGGCCTGTGGACTGAAAGGTCCCAGGTTCGATTCTGGTCAAGGGCATGTACCTTGGTTGCGGGCACATCCCCAGTAGGGGGTGTGCAGGAGGCAGCTGATCGATGTTTCTCTCTCATCAATGTTTCTAACTCTCTATCCCTCTCCCTTCCTCTCTGTAAAAAATCAATAAAATATATTATTAAAAAATGTCAACTGCGCCCTGATATTTATCTGTTCCCACATTCCCTTTATTTTCCTCCTTAAACTATTGAACATGCTTTTTGGTTTTTCACAGTAGCTCCATGTATTGTCTATACCACTCCATGAGGATGGGAGTTTCTGGAGGGGCTGTCTATTTTTCTTTTTACACTGTAGGCCCTTGATAAATATTTGTTGAATATGAATGAATAAAGAGTCAGAAAAACTGGTTATCCAACTGATATTATCACTAATTAACTAGCTTTTATCTCATCTAATCTTTATCTGTAACACAGGTGCAATAAAGAGTGATTTCCATACATCAAAGTGTGTTTCATCAACGGAAAGAAAAGATGGGAAAAGAAAAGCTGAAGAAGTGAATGCCCTTATTTTGAATGATGGGACTGCACATTTGGGGGCCTACCTTGGTTTTCAAAGAGAATATGAACTCCTAGAGCCCAAGGACATCACTAGTAAATGCACATTGGCTGCTGTGTTTGGGAAAGTGGCTAATGAGGAAGAGCAGTGACGAGGGAGTCTGAGTTACCTGGAAGAGTGGAGACAGATTGGCGAGAGCCCTGTGTCTGTAAGTGTGGGAGTGATGCCAGAGGCAGGGGCCCTTGTGATTTTCCCTCCCCCCGGACAGAAACAGTGGGAAACCTGTGGGAGTGGCACACAAAAGGACATGGAGATATTTTCCCCGTCTGCCAAGCCCCTGGAGCCCCAGTCCATGCTCCCACAGCCTGTTCCCATGGGCCTCCTGGGCAGCATTATAAATAGGCCTGTGCCTAAAAGGGCAAGCCAGCTCCAGCTGTTTTCTCTGCACCGTTTTCAAGTGAGTGCAACCTCATCTGGGGTTAGGCAGCCCAAATCCTGCGTCCTAAGGGACCTTGAAGACCCCACACACTGCCTCACAGCAGGGCAGGGAAAGCCCTTGCATGCCACCTACACCTCCATGGGCCAAGAAGGAATGTCTCAGAGCATTAGCAAGTGAGTATAAATGCAACAGCCACACTTGGACCCAAAGATAACCAGAAATTGGGTCTAGCCAGGGGTCACCTTAGGCAAAAGGCAAGGCCACCTGGGAGGGAGACCTAAGGTCTTCTGGGATAGGTAACTAGGAAAACAAGATTACGGCCCAAAGTCTTAGACTGCTACCAGGAAAGCAGAAACGTTGTCCTGCGGAGTGATGAGTCAGGACAGTAGCTGACTCTCTGCGGCCAACAGAGACCCTTATATCTATCTAAAGTGCTACATGCAGTGGGATGGGTAGAAGGCCTTGAAAGGGAAGAAGTATGTTACTATGTGCCTCTTGCTACTTCCATTCCTACCCTTTTTTTTTCAGCTGGGCCCCATTTCTCTTGCACACAGAGGTCCAGTGATATGGCCTCCCTCCAAGGAAGTTATCTTAGCATTACCACATACTTATCAGCCTGATTTGTGTGGATTTCTGAATCTCCTTTCCCCAGGTTACCTATGTCAGATACATAGATGGTTGGATGGATGCAAGATATAAGCTTCCTTTGATCTCACTGAGGGATGCCATTATCTGCCTCTGAAAAGAACTTTTTATTCTCTGACAGCAGCTAGGGTCCAAAGTTGGGATCTGTGCTTGTCAAGGAGGGTAGCTGTTATGCCTTTGTACATGTTCTGAGGATGGAGAAAAGCAAACAGCAGTCAGAGGTGTGGATTTGATCATCTTTATTCCCTGGATTTGTTATTACTGGTTTGTCTCCAATGGGGATAATACAAGTCAAATCTTTTAGTTCTCATCTTATTATATTTATGTAAGACTGCTGGTTTCCAAACTCTCTCCACTAAGGCCAAATGGAAGAGCATCTCCCAGTTGCAGTTAAGGACTGAGGTTAGGAGCGAAGAAGAATCTTGGCGAGATGAACAGTTAACCTGAACACAATTGATGAAGACTCCTGCAGAATTTATTCCCAAGACTCAGAGGTTCTTATTGAAGCCATTTCCTTGGCTCTTGAGATACAATTAGCTCTAAAAGCCAGGACACTAGGGAGCCTAGCAGGGAAACATTTAATGAAGTCAGAGTACATGTGTTTAGGATTGAGGAGGTTGCGGCAGAACAGCACTGGGTTTCTAAAAAGGAAATGTCTGCCCAAATATGAATGCCATGTTGGCCAATGTTCCAGGTAAGACAAAGCTCTAGGAATATCTGGATTTGGAACAAGTTCTTGGGACAATAAGAGTGGCCTTGTAGGCAGCTTTCACGTGTGTAGGATCCCATCAGCAAGGAGAGAGAGAAGAGCCTTCGCAGGGAACATGCCAAACAGCTAAGATCTGCTGGGGGTCCCACATCCTGCCAGCACTTTTATCTCCAGAGAAGTCATTGGAGGGAGCTCCTGCCTTTCATTCAATGACCCCCAGATGATTTTCCTTTTTTTTTTTCTTAATAGATTGACTTTTGGCCTTTTGCTTCGTATTCTTTTTCCTTTTAATTTTTTAAAAAATACTATTGTGTTTCTTTCTCCCCACACTGACCTTAGACCTGGGTACTTGGAATCCTGAAAAATTGCAAAGCAAAATAAAACAAAACAAAACCCTCCCTATCCTCAATTTACCCTTTATTCCCTTCTCTGTTTGATTTCTACTTATGTTTCAAAACTGAACAGAAGGGTCATGTTTTTCAGGAATGTGATCATGCTTCTCCTCTTCCCATGCATTAAATGCGCACCTTATGCTAGCACATTCCCAAACCCTAATAATTTGGTTACTTGTCCCTTTTTCACTCTAAGTAGGCATCTGAAGGGCAAAAGGTGTCTTTCACCTCTGTATCAACAGCACCTAACAAATAACCTTGTACATAGTATGTCATGTAAGTCAATGTTTATGGAATGAATGAAAAATTGAAGGAAAGAAGGGAGACAGGAGAGGAAAAGGGAGAGGAGGGCAAGGGAAGGGAGAATGGAGAAGGGAAGGGAAGGGGACAGGAGGGGAAGCAAAGAGGACAGGAGGGGAAGGAAAGGGAGGGATGGGGAGCGGAGGGGCTGGGAGGGGAGGGAAAGGGAGGGGAGGGGTTGGGAGGAGAGGGAAAGGGGAGAGAGGGGATGGGAGAGGCTGGGAGGGGAGGGGAAGGGAGGGGAAGGGCGAGGAGGACCCAGCCATATCTGGAAGGGGTTCCCAAAAGGGTGACTCTTAACACCATTCTGAAAAAAGGACCACCCAGTGTCCAGACAATGAAGATACGGGCTGGGAGAAGGAGTCTAAGGGAACTTGAGAAGGATACATTTTGGGATAAGCATGTTCTTCCAAGGTTCCCTTTTAAAAATATAAATGGACCTTGAGAATAGTGACAGTACATGAATTTGAGCTGTCACTTTTCTCTTTGGAGGGGGCTTCATAGCTTATGAAATAGCCGAAAAGGCTTGGAAGAGGGAGGAGAGAATAAAGGAAGGAGAACTGAGGTGCATCAGTCCCCAGGTTTCCAGGGCTGGCCTCTCTGATTGTGCTCCATCTCCTACCAGGCTGCCAGTGTGACCTGACCCTCTCCAGTGGCCTTCTCCGCGCCAGCTATGAGTTCCTGCAACTTCACACATGCCACCTTCGTGCTTATTGGTTTCCCCGGACTAGAAGAAGTCCATTTCTGGATCGGCTTCCCTCTGCTTTCAATGTATGCCGTGGCCGTGTTTGGAAACTGCATCGTGGTCTTTATCGTAAAGACGGAGCGCAGCCTGCATGCTCCCATGTATCTCTTTCTCTGCATGCTGGCAGCCATTGACCTGGCTTTGTCCACATCCACCATGCCCAAGATCCTCGCCCTCTTCTGGTTTGATTCCAGGGAGATTGCCTTTGATGCCTGCATTGCCCAGATGTTCTTTATTCATGCTCTCTCGGCCATTGAGTCCACCATCCTGCTGGCCATGGCCTTTGACCGTTATATAGCCATCTGCCACCCATTGCGCCATGCTGCAGTGCTCAACAACACAGTAACAGCCCAAATTTGTGTGGTGGCCGTGGTCCGTGGATCCCTCTTCTTTATCCCACTGCCTCTGCTCATCAAACGGCTGGCCTTCTGCCAGTCCAATGTGCTCTCGCACTCCTATTGTGTACACCAGGACGTGATGAAGTTGGCACAAACAGACACATTGCCCAATATGGTCTATGGTCTTACTGCCATCCTCCTGATTATGGGCGTGGATGTCTTGTTCATCTCCTTGTCCTATTTTCTGATTATACGAACAGTTCTACAACTGCCTTCCAAGTCAGAGCGGGCCAAGGCCTTCGGAAACTGTGTGTCACACATCAGTGTGGTATTGGCCTTCTATGTGCCTCTCATTGGCCTCTCGGTGGTACATCGCTTTGGAAACAGCCTTCATCCCATTGTGCATGTTCTCATGGGTGATATCTACCTACTCCTGCCTCCTGTGCTCAATCCCATTATCTATGCTGCCAAAACAAAACAGATCAGAACTCGAGTCCTAGCTATGTTCAAGCTCAGCTGTGACAAGAACCCTCAGACTGTGTGAAGCAGGTGGCCCTTCCCACTCCACTTTCCCTTATCCTTAATGGCTTGATAATGACGTACTAATGCTAGCCAATAAGCATATCAATGCTTTTCTCCGGTTTGATCTCCAAATTCTGTCTCAGCTCAGAGCGAAATTTGGGGAGATATCGTAATTCCCTTCCATAGGTCAAAATGTTATTTATATCTTTACTATATAAAAAATTTAAGTAGAAAATCCACCAATGCTCCAATAAGTATTTTAAAAAAAATAGAGTGCCAAAAATACAGTTGGCTTTGAAACAAGAGACAAATTACTCTATCTGACTAGTAATCCAAGGTAGCACTTTTGTCTATCAACTTAGCAATTTTTATTAATGAGAATTTACAATAAAAAAGAAGATTATGTTAAAACATATAAAGTGTCCCAAAAAATGTATACACACTTTAACAGCTGATAACTCACTTAATTTTCACTCCTTTTCAGGTTTAACTGATTTGAAATAATGGGTGAAGCCAGACTAGGCTTTGAACAAAGAAACTTTATCCTAAAGTATCACTAGACAAAATATAAAGTTTATGGTATGAAACCAGCAACAGTCGATGAATCGAGGGCACACGAATACCGAACGAAATGATTCTTGATGTTTGTGATTCCATTGCTTCGTGTTATTAGCAGTACCAGAATGATCATCAGTTTGAAAACAGGCATTGACAAAAATAAATTATTCATTTCTGCAGATTCTTTTAAATTTTGAAAATGAACTGTATGTTAATAAACACTGACTTTATAATCATTCAAAGTGTGTATACATTTTTGGGACACC